GGCCAAAGGCAAATCAGTTGGCTATATTACAAGAATGGCCGAGGAATTGAAACTAGGGGCTACCATGAAACAAATCCAAGTAGTGGCCAGGGCGGGACTTGAACCCGGGAGCGACGGATTGCAAGCCCGACACGCTGTCCACTCGACCATGCTGCCTTCTTCTGAGGACCATTTGTATTTGCCGTTTCCTTCTTTTTACACACATTTTCCCCTTTTTCCTTGGTGTGACATCTTCGGCAACAGTCCCGTTATAGGCTATTCCGAAGCTATCATATAATAGACTAAGGTGCTTCAGTATTGCGGTTGCACCCAACAGCTCAGTGATTAGCTTCACGTTCCCTGCTACCGCATCCGTTATATATATTGTTTCCCCAACAAAACAAATTCCGTGTGGTTGAACAAAAGTGCAACTTTTTGCCGTCCAATATTCAATTCGTCTTTGACCACTCCCCACTTGAATCGTTACTCACCTTGTCGACTGGGTTAAGTACTTTGACCTGATAAGCTCCAGGTGTAAAGGGTGAGAATCGTTTGATTTCTGAGCAAGAATTGTTCTCGTTCTTTAACACATATCAACTGGTCAACCCCCTAGAACGATCTAGATGAAAGCCAAACCACCAATAGTACTTGGATACTTTGCAGAAACGAAATAAACTAACCGGCCACAAACAGCCGGGATAGTCAACCATCAACTCCATCATTTTCCAAGATGACTTGAAAATCGCTTTTGCTCATCATTTGTACAAATTAATACCTCGTCCCTTGCAATACAAAGGGCGGTGGGACTGGGTAAAGGTGGCTCAATGTGAACACGATCAAGATGAGTTATCCTTCGGACGTGCGATCTGCTCAAAGCGATGAATTGAGCAAGGCACTAACGTAAAGTTGCCACAGTTCGCTCAAGGGAAAGTTTGTAGGCTCTCAGCTAGCTTTCCAGCTCGGTGCGAGGTCGAGGGTAGGGTACAATCGCACTGATTCGTTATGTCAATAAACCGAATTGTCTTGTTGCCACGTTCTATGACAAAACCCACCCTGCAAGAAAAAACATACTTCTCTAGCGTCTTTTTTTTTTGATGAAGACGGATTCGTAGTAATCTTGTAGAGCAGAAAGCAAATTCGTAAAAATACAAGTAAAAGAATGCTACCTAGTGGTCCTGAACAAACAGCGTCAGCATGGGAACAAGCACCAGGCAAATTGGACTTACAATATCTGTACTTTGAGACGTTTAACGTCTAACATAGGCCTGCTTGTTTAACTGTCGACGGTAAAAATGTTGCTTTTTTCACGGTTGATGGTTAATATTTTTGCCGTAAAACGGTTGACGGTTAATCCCATCGAGATCCTCTTATTAGGCTGATTAAAGTTCATCAAAATTCTAAGGTTGCCGTAAGTTCTCAAATTTCAATTTGCCCGTTGAAATTAGAGAAAACATCTCCTGTCTCCGTAAGAGAGTAAGGTTGCAAGCTAAATGAGATCCGCGCGTAACTTCACTGACTGTTAACAACAAGGTGAGACTGTCTGGTTGCATTATCTGCTGTAACATTTCCTTCCCTGTCTTCTTTTTATTAGGCAACACTGATATGCATTGTCATATACAACTATAGCATGTAGGCATAAACCATTCGGCGGTCCTTCAGCTACTAGGCATTAATAGATTGTGCTCGGCAACTTTTGAGCAACTTTTAGCGTTTTCACCAACTTTTTGTATTGCGAGCTCCTGTTAGCAACCTGGAGCAACTTTTGCCCTCCTTGGCAACTTTTGAGTCAAAAAGTAGTTAAAAATTGATTAAACCATCAAAAAAGTCTTGATCCAAAGGCTTTTTTATTAAAACTGGTCGAAACTAAGGATGTCGCACGTTCTTACAAATAATCCATAAAATAACACGTGCGCCCACAAACTGAACAGCAGCTATCTATCTAACGGGCGCTTACATCCAGCGGATATTCGCTCTAACAATAGAGCTTCCCCGCGCGTGCAAGGTATCACAATTAGAAGCTAAAATGTCTGACGAGGAAAATGAAAATAGTACAGATATTGACTCTACCGAGGTTACCATAGCCGCTGGAGAAACTCTCAATAGTCCTGCAGGAGCTTCAATTTCTAGAAAGCGTAAAATTCACGTCAACGAAGGCAAATACAAACAACGAGGAGCGGTTGCTTGACCTCGTCCTCAGGGAAAGGAAACGCAACATGCGCTTGGGATCTTGTGAAAGACTATCCAAAACGTTATTAGAGAATACATTCTATTAGTAGTTGCGTTGAGATTATATTTATCAAACCAAATGGTGTTAAATTACACATACAACTTCATGTTTTGAGTAGTAATCTAGAACAAATGACTCCCAAAAGTAAGCAGCTTCTTCTAAATTTGGGTGGCAACTTTTAAATTTTTGAGCAACTTTAAAGTAACTTTTGGGTGTATCGTCATGCAAATTTTGCTGGATTTCCTTGCACAGACTATTTATGCCTAATATAAAACCTCTAGAAGAGGTGTTAGCGCCGTTGTTCCGAGTGCAGATTTAGGCATTTCCCGTTTGTGCTCGTCAAATCCTGGGAAGTAGCTGACTGGAATTCCTAAATGGTTGCTGAAAAAACTGCCAAAATCCCAAAAGTTGCTGCGCAAATTTTAAAAGCTTTTACCTAAATTTCTTGATTTTTTTGCAATAAAAGTTAATTAAAACTTTAATGCAGTAAGAAACCTTGAACCCGGGGGTAACATGTGAAGGTGAAGTCTGATCGTCCGGGTGAGTGTAGTCCTAAGAAGGTGGACAGAAGACATATGATTTGGCACGTTTATCGATTATCCTATCATTTCCAGAACATTCTTGATTACTCCTTTAGGAAAGTTCTAGTGGTCTCGACATGAGTACGTGACGTCTATTTATAGAAACTCGAGTTGTTTACCGTAAATTCTGGAAAACTCTATGATGTAATGTTACTAAAAATAGTCGTGTTATAAATCTGTAGAATCTTCTGGAAAGATTGTAAGGAACTATATAAGAAGGTGCAGTAGGTTGTTGCGTTTAGACGAAAAAGAGGAAAAAGAAGAAAAAGAAGAGAAAAATATAAAGGAAATAAAGGAGTTAGTGAAAACAATTCATTTTAAGGTTTATCACAAAACCAGAAGGACAGTTGTCGGTGGTAGTGACTGACGTTTCGACGACCTGTGCGGAAGTCATCATCAGAGTCAAGTGACTCTGATGACTCTTGACTCTGATGATGACTTTCGCACAGGTTGTCGAAACGTCAGTCACTACCACCGGCAACAGTCCTCCTCAGGACTACACTCACCCGGACGATCAGATAACACCCTCACATAAAACTTTAATGTTTCGATCTTCGCAATAGTCACTAAAATCACTCGAGAAAAATGGTTTGAAACTTAGCTTTAAAGAGTTGCACGTAAATAGAGGCGAAATTGAAGGATATTCTTTACTAAAGTTGAATGGAACAAAAAACATTCTTCATTTCGCTTCTTGTCGAACGAAACGATGTCAAATAACAGGTTATTTGTTCTAAAGGTTGATAGACATACAAGAAATTTACATAAGTTGAAGTTTCCGATGAAATCGTTGACTGTTTCGTGCTTAATTGATATGAGCTTTATGTTGAGAAAACATTTCCCAGATATACGAATGAAAAAAAATTTCACTGTTACTAGAATCGCCAAAAGTTCCTCCAAACGCCAAAAGTTGCTTAAACGTTTCCGAGCACAATGGGGACAGGCCTTGCAGGTAATAAACAACTTTAAGAAGAATAGAAAACGAAGTAAACAAGTTTACGCATGAAACAGATATTTACAAATATTTATGGAGGCCTTAACCAGGTGTTTATCCTTTTCGATCCATTTCTTCAAATAAAATAGAAATAGAAAGGGGCGTTCTTTTCATTACAGTTCACCGAAAAGCAGTTGTTCAAATTGTCGTGCTAAAAATATGATCACTGAAAAAAAAGTTGGAGTTCACCAAGCTACAGCCTGGCATCGGTTATTAACTGTTTTCCTTTTTCTATGTTTTTAAACTCAATTTCTCTTTGTTTTAAAACGATAAATGAAGTAGTGTGAGAGGAATGCACTAAGAAAACATTTTTACGAGTGCGTCCCAAGAGTAGAAAAAAATAAAGGCTAATGAACAAATTTTTTTTTTTGTCAATAATAATCAGGCCGAGAATTCGAACGCGTTCGCGGCGTTTTGGGCTTCTGTCAAATTGTCATTCACCTGGCGTTATCTTTTATAATTCAGAATCCCAAAACTATTAATTGAGGCTATCTTGTATTCATTACATTTTGCCAAAAAGCAGTGGCTCAAGCCGTCAGGCTAACATTTCATTAAGGTTAGGGAGAGAATTCAGGTGTAGGTTCAGAGGTTCGGAGTTTTTTAGATTTAAACTATAGCTTCAAAACATCGACCAACGACCTCGAGAAAGAAACTTTCCTGCAGGTGGTGGCTAGCATAAAAACACACTGCAAAAGGCTGAGTGGTTATAAGCCTTTAAAGGTAAGGGACTTTACTTGTTGCAAAGTGAGGGTAAAGGGTAGAAACCCGTTTTCATTATGAGCCATAATAATACTTAAATCTTATTACGATCTCTGCACAACAATCGCTCGAACAAGAGAGAAATGAAGAGAAAAACCACATAAAAGTAGATTCTCTTAACCTATGACACACTTATTTCGTTATCGGAAATTGTTTGTTGGTTTAGAGTCACTTGCATACAATGTTACCAATTTTTCATACAATATAACAGGGATACAAGAAGTCTGTGCCAAAGGGCGCTCTGATCCATCTTGCATTTTCTCTAAACCCTCTGTATACTTGATGTCCTTATAAAAGTATACTGACGCAAGAACCAATTATTGTTCTCACAAGAAAGATGCTGTGGCCAAATTTTTATCTCTTTATCCCGGTTCTTTTCGTGGAATGCGTATCTGCTAATGAACAGTGCAAGGTGGAGATCAACATCCAAGGCATGAGACTTGAAAAGTTCGTCTTCAAAAGGATGTCAGCATCAGCTCCCTATATCTGTGATATCCGATGTGGAGAAGAAATCATCTGCCAAAGCTACAACTACAATAGAAAGAAGGAGATCTGCGAACTAAACAACCGCAGTAAAGAGGCGAGGCCTGAAAACTTTCGCTCGGTCCCTGATTGGTTTTATATCAGGCGTTTGAATGGAAGAGGTAAGTATTAATCTGATTTAGTGAGATGGCCTTACTTATTTGCATGTTAAATAGTTTCTCGTCTCAGTCAGCAAGCAATTTTACCAATAACAGCCCTCAAGAGGGAATTTTTTTGAAGAAAATAGCAAGCGGGACTAATTTCTATCCTCAAAACCCTTTTTTTCGCGTTTTACTGAGAGAATATAAGTTGAACTATTTATATTATCTTGGTTATACGCGAACGGCTATGTATTGTCGTGGTGGGCAACTTTGACAGCTGCTTCTTTCTGAAATCCACAGTTTTTAACAACTCCCATATTTCAGTCAACTGTTGAGTTAGATTTTTCCAGCAAAGTAATCTAACCGCTTCTGCGTTGTTTGATAAAAATGAGAGTGTGAGAAACTACTTGAATACGAGAAAACTAAAAGTTATTCATAAATATTATTTCCCCGTAATATTTGCATATTCTAGAGTTTTTTCTATTTTTCTTGAAAATGTTATAGTTACTAATTCACCTTTAGTTATTCGAGGAAGGTAAAATGATATTTTAAAGTGTTTAGTCCATCACATCTATGGTCATCTTCTTAAGTTTCTCACCTTTTCCTAGAAAAAAAATCTTTAAGAAATTAACCAGGTAGTTACCGACGGAATTTATTCTTCAATCTTTTATCTATTGCAGTACCGTTGGGTTCCATTGTCGAATTACCAGCACTATCTTGCCAAGAAATAAAAGCAAGTGAGGGAAAAGATGCTATTAGCAATAAGTACTGGCTGAATCCAACTGGTAATGGAAAGACACGACTGATGTATTGTGATATGAACTTAGGAACTGGAGGTAAGCCTATTTCGTTTGATCTCAGCCTATTTTCGTCAAATATTATCATGCAAGGGAGGTCATTGGTAATGGACAAGGTCAGATGCTTAGGCGTTTTTATATTTTCACATACTCACCCATATATCGATGAATGCAGAAATGGCAGCCACCTTTGTGACGCAAATGCCAATTTCATCAACATCAATGGCTCCTATAACTGTACATGTAAGAAAGGTTTTTTTGGAGACGGTCAGATATGTGTAGGTATGTTTCTTCTGAGAAAAAAGAGAAACAAAAAAAAAACAAAACAAAGCAAAGGTGGCTAGAAATAATCTTTCCACGGCACGGCTGACTTATTTGCATTTGTCCTCTAGATATTGACGAATGTGTAAGTGACAGCTTCATTTGTGGTGTGAATGCGACCTGTGTAAACACCAATGGCTCTTATGGTTGTACCTGCATGGAGGAAGGATCAGTTGGAGATGGAGGTGTTTGTTCAGGTGCGTTAAGCATGCTCAGTAAAAGATATTACATTTGGTTACTGTCCAAATATTATATTCGAAGTGAAAGAAGAACATTCTTTATAAAGAAGAGCTTTCCTAGCGACCAGGTGATTCCTATCAGCCTTCAGGGCAACAATAATACTGTGTTGATGTCCAACCGGAACGGAAGCCTGCCATTGGTATCTGTCCCATGAAATACTCTGATATTTCTCACAACGTGGTGAAAATTGTTTTTAGCAAGATGCCTGCCCTCTTACTCCCTTCCTTCTCTACTATAGCGGAGACTATAGCGAACACAGAAAAAAAAACTAGCGTTCACCGTACGGAAAACGCAGGTTGAATTCACGAAGTGGCAATTTATGTTTACATGTATTTTGCCTACGGAAAATGCGACGTTCTCTGTGCGTTTTCGCATCGGTGAATTCCAGTTTCGCTCCATTGTTCGGTATTGTTCCCATCGTGGTACATGCAGGTAAACAATTAATTTTCCGGCATTACCCGCTCGGTTAACGCACTACAAACAGCGTGTTTTCCGTTTGTTCATTGGCATTTTTCGAGAGAAAAACAACGCATTCACCAGAGTTAACAGCTGAAAACACGCATTTTCCGGGAAGGTTAATGTGTGTATATACGGGAAAACATGATGTTCTTCAGAGTTTGCAGTTCGTATAACGCATAGAAAATGCCGTGTTCTCTTCTGGTCCCAACCATTTTTCACCCGGTGAACGAGATGTTCACAAAAATTATCTAGTCGAAAGCATGCATTTTCCAACGTTTTCCGTGATGGTGAATTCAATAAAATTCGTTAAAACGCATTTCCCGGCGTTTTACCTTTTATTGTTGTTCGGTTAATCTATGGAAACAACATGCATTTTGCTAATTACAGCCGTTTTGCGCATTCCAAAGTTATGCTTACTAAAATTAACCAGTCGAAAGCATGTATTTTCCGGTACTTTTCTGCAACGGTCAATTCCTGAAAGGGATGCATTTTCCCGCGTTTACCGCCGTTCGGTTAATTGCTGTTAGGCAGGAATAGATTGTACTAGTAAATCCAGCAAAACTTGCTTGACAATACAACCAAAAGTTGCTCTAAAGTTGCTCAAAAATTTAAAAGCTGCCACCCAAATTTGAAAAAGTTGCTTTTGAGTGTTATTCTGTTCCAGATTACTACTCAAAACGTGACGTTGTATGTGTGATTTAACATCATTTGTTGTGATCAATATAATCACAACGTAACCCGTAATAAAAACTGAAGTATTTTCTAAAGACGTCCAGGGTAGTCTTTCACGTGATCCCAAGCGCACGTTGTGTTTCCATTCCATGAGGACGAGGTCGAGCTACCGCTTCTCGTTGTTTGTATTTTAAATAGTCGCTAGAAATTGGGGGTGCGGCTTATTTGCGGAAACATTTGAAAAAGGTGTCGAGTTTTTCATTTTCGCGCCTGATCTAATACCTGGTTACTGAGCTTCGAATATTCCGCTTACGTTCATGTTGTAATGCAAAAATCTATGGAAAAACTGTGTTGAATAAAGAAATTTTTGTCAACAAATATCAGAGAAAGATCAATCATATGTCAAAGTTGGTAGAAACGATGTTTATTTTATCAAAGAGCTAAAATTGTGGGTAATAATCTGAAGTATTTTCCGTTGCAATGTTAATAGTAAGTTTACGTTCGATGAAGGTAGCGGAGACTATAGCGGAGGTCACGGTTTAAAGCGAATCTGGATGTCAGAGACTTCTAGTCTCTGTTTAAAATCTTTCCTCTTTGTAGCCAAATTCGTTAAGGAAGTAATTTGAACCCTCGGAGTTTTGCAATTGATATGATACCATAAGCTCTACTGTCCAAAAACAGGTAGGTTGTTCTTCTCGTCAGTGACGTCTCGAATTGGACCCACTGGTAAGCTATTGTCACTAAATATCGTGCGCAGTTTAGGTGACGATGAAGTGCCAGATGGAGTAACATATCAATGAAAAGTTGTCAGTCCCTTGGGCGAAGGTATCAAAGCTGTCGTAACCAGTAATTGTATTGATTAGAAACAAAGAGAGAAAACTAAGGTTCTGAACAGCGATAGATTGCTTCATATGACTTGGTAAAAACTGACGAGAGAAAGCTTAGTTAGGAAAATTTTCCAATGAAGACGATTGAATAATTTGCAAATGCAAGAGTTATTACCAGGAATTGTTTGCCTCAAGTCCCTGTGCTCCTTTTTACTGTGGGTATGGTCCAAAACCGATGATTGAACCATGATATCGACCCTTTCTTCAAATCTTCTCATTGAGAAAAAATATATATATTAATGCCGTTGTTGGCGTAACCTGACGCAGTGATTAAATTTCCAATAGACCTGTGCAACGGGCATACAAAGCAAAGTGGAGTTCTTTGTCGCTTTCAATAACTCTTTCCATTGAAATGGACCTAAATAGGGATGTAAATTGTTTGCTTTCCTCTTTAACGGGTAACTCGTCGCTGGTTCTTGTTGTGTCCTCCTAATGTATAAATTGGAGGGTTACTCGTCTTGAAGTCGGCATGAACCAAGTTAACACACTAGTCGACCATGCTCTCCTTTGTTCCC